TACCGACACCTATTTATATGTACATATCTTTCTTCATATATGTACACATATAGATAGATGCGTCATGGAAGGACCGACAGTTTACTGCAGACGGTTTTTTGGATTCCACGAAAGACAAATTTGAAATTGTGTTCCGTCTCCCTGTGCGAGGAGCCGGCTGAGCAGGGCACGGCGCAGGTGTGGTCTGCAGAGCAGGCGCTGCGTGCGGCAGCTCTACGGTCCGCAGAGCAACGCCGGGTCCAACGTCTTCTCGCAGCTCCTTCCACCTTGGGCCGTTGTCAGCGCCATGGTTGCATGCTACAAGCACACGTACTCAAGAGCGGTCCCAAGAAAGGCAGCATTCGTTTCTACTGTCGACGTTGGTTTGACTTCCGACAGCCTGAGCGTCGCTGTTGGTTCTACCGCACCCCAAGTCCGGAGCAGCTCCGTTCGTTGCCAGAGTCTGTGAAGAAGGAGTACTGTGCTTTGCGTGCCAGCTTTGCGCGCGGAGGTCGTTAGTCTTTTCCCAGACAGAGCGTGCAAGTGGGGGAGCACCTGCTCGCGGTCAAAAGTTCCTCTGCGTCTTTTCATGTAGAAAGCTGATGCAGTGCATGGGGCTGGTCTTTTGCAAGTCTTCCGCGCAGCACCTACTTACTCTTGCTCGCTTTCCGCAGGTTTTTTTTTGGGCTCCGAGCTTGAGCTGTTGTGATGGTCAAAATACGTTCCAGGAAGTTTGGAGCTGCGGAGAGGCTCAAGCATACCGCCAAGAAGGATCGGCAAGCGGCTCGGGGAGGGAACACGCAGCACCACAAACTCAAGCTCGCTTGCTCGTTCGCACGCCCGCAGAAGACGATTCAGTTGCGCGACTTTAAGCAAGAGTGGTTTTTCAGCGACATTGTCTCCTTCACGGACAAGCAAGCTGAAATGATGCTGCGGCGCTTTGGGGTTCTGCCCAAGAGAGATGCCGTCGTTCACTGCTGGAAGTGTGGGGAGCGAATGACGCAGGCCAGTTCGAGCTCAGGCAGCGTTTCTGCTGAAGCCAAGCAGTGCTGCAATTGCAAGGTCGCAGGACTCTTTGCATCGCTTTTGCATTGCTTGTCTTATTTTCCCTAGCCCAGACCCCTGACAGCTAAAACTCCACAAAGCATGCGAAGGACGCCATTACTTGCAATTGCGTCATCCAGCCCTTGCTTGGACGCCGTTCTGGAAAGGGTGCACCAAAGGCCACAGTCCGCAGTATGCCGCGTTCTTGCGCTTGTGTTACTGCGTGGGCGTTCGTACCGCACCCGATGCTCTTCCGCACTACGTTAACGACAAGCAAACGCAAGCTGGACCCAGGTTTTTGGCGACGTGGCTAGAGGCTCTCTCTCCTGAACCAATTGCAGCCCTCATGTCTTGAAAGTGTGGGTCTCCTGTGACGGGTCTTGACTTGCTGCTTTTCACCAGCATGTCGCAGGCTGTGCGCTATGCTTTGGCATTTACAGAGATGGAAGAGCAAAAGCAGGTCTTGCTCAAGGATGAGATTGTGGAGGACTCTGCAACTTCCGAAACACTCCCATGTCCCCTTAACCCTAAACCCTCGACCCTTAACTCTCATAATGTGCACGCCGCCAGGCAGATGGCGCTGGCCACCTGGTTGTGCGGCGGGGCTTCACTGCACGCAACCAGAAGAAACGTCAGCGAAGCAAGGCCCAGAAGTACCGCAAGCACAGCACGGACTCTGCCAAGCAAGCTCAGCACGGACGAGTCCTGGTGATGTCAGGACGCTTTTCCAAGCAGACAGTGGTGAGGCCTCTTCGGGCAACAGTTCAGAAACGCGGCGCGCCAGGAGGCGCTTTCGGCTTCACGCATTTCTTTGGGAAGTTGTGCTTAGGGATTTAAGCCCTACCCCGTCAACTTCCCGGGCCTCAGGCGGAGAAACCTTGCGAGAGATCTTGCCTCTGATGTCGCAGCACATAGATGCCGACAGCGTGCTGGCTGCTTCCGATAGCGGATGCGGACTGACGTCCGCATGGCAGTCTCTTGCAATTCCTGCAGCCCAAGCTCGGCATGGACTCGATGAGATGACGCCTACTGTTTCTTTTCCTTCCGCCTCCTTGTCAAGCAAGCAGGCTCGTACAGTTCGCAAAGCTGCTGCAGTGAAGAAGAAGCCCGCAGCCCAGTTTTCCCCGAAAAAGACAACCTTTCGGATAGTGGGAGGCGACAATCAGTGCGAAGCACAGATTGCCGTAGGCAAGAATCAGCTGCGGCGTGTGAACGCCTTGGGGCGGATGGCCCCCAGGCATTCTCACGTCACATTACTTGCAGTCAGACGTCTCTTGCACAGACCTGGCCTTCGTACCGTGTTGCAGGCACTTGCTGGGTATAGAGCGGAACGCGCCGGCAAAGTCGGATGCAACCCGGAGCACTTCGCAGACGTGACGCAGGACTCTGCCTGGCTCTTCGCCTGACGAGAAAAAATACAGCATTTTTTCGGACAGTCTTGCATGGGCCAACACCTCGAATTCATTGGCAGGGCCAACGAATTTGCAACATTCGCTCCATTGCGCGCGCGCGAACAAAGCACTGGCGCGTTGTTTTTGGTGAAGGCCAAGGAGAATTCAATACGTTTTGGCTGCATATTGATCTTTTTTCTCTTCTTGGTTGTATTGTTTTTGGTACTTGTTAAACGAGTTTGCAGTTGTTCAAGAAGTATTCTGGCCTTAGTTCATCTGAAGTTTGTGCATCATTTTTATTCACGTCATGTCCATCCTATCGAAATAGGATTTGTCACTTTTGTAAACATGTTGTAGGCATTTTTCACCTAATAAACGATTGCCACGAAACACTCCTGCATGTCAGATTTGCTGTGAATTGCTGATCTTGCACTGGCTAGGGCTTTCACTGTAAGCACGAGTTAAAACCATATAAAAGTGAAAACACACCAATTAAAGACAGCCCCCAATGCAAACATAAAACAACGTAAGTATGCATGCTATACATTTTCCTCTAGCAATGTGTATCTAACGCCGTTACGTGTTCCGTATAAGACGAGCTTCCCAAGGAAAATTCTTCAATCGTAGACGAAGAGCATAGTTCCGTACATGATGAGCAGACGAAGAAAATCAATGAAGCGGTCTTCGTACAGTAGCGTCTTCAAGCCGAGATTATTGAGTAGTTTTGTACGGGACGAAAGGCTGAAATTCATCATATGGTTTGTAAAAAGCACCTATGCAGGTTCAATCACATCGCAAGAGTACATATGTGTGCCCAACAGCAAATTTATATTAAATCCATTCAGTCCGTCAAACTATTAGACTAATGATTAGACCGATTGAATTTCGTCAAATTTACAGACTTGTCGAATGGATAGTAAACTCTCCATCAAGATGAAGTCTGATTTTCCATGTACAATGCCGCTGGTCTTGAACAAGCCAAAGTTGAACTGAACGAACTTCTGGATGTCTTTAAGACTCCTTTGCTGTGTTAGTCTAGACAATCAAGTGGAAGTGAGGGGATTGATCATGACAATGACAATTGTATGATGAGGGAAATGTGTTCGTAAAGAGTCAAAAACACGGAGTACAATGGATATGTTACAGCATCAGCGACAGTAATTTAGTAGTCGAGTTATGCATACTTGAACACACGGAAGGAAGGTACGATCTGGAGGCAAACCCCCCAATCCCGATGACCAACGTAGTCCTGAAGCCGAGATAAGAACACAGGCGTGGGTACATTGGGGGGATACCATAGGTAAATAGATATATGCGTATAACATGTAGATGCATATGCACAGTGAGTGCGAATGTAGAGGCAGACGTGTACTATGCGTATCTGTGTATATCTTTCTGTTGCGCAAACGCATGTCAAAGTGGAGTTATTCACATGCTCGCGAAGCACAGTTGGCTGTGGTGAACATGAGCTGCATAGGCGATCGATGGCGCCTGTGCGCGACTCTGGTCGCCATGCAGTCCGATACAAAAGGCCGTCACCCAGACCCAAAGGGCCACTTCTTGATTCGTTCGAGACGGCAACTGCAGGCGCAGTGTTGCTTGCGCATGCCTTAGTTTGAAAGTTGCTTGCTGACTGGTTCCCACACCAACAAGAAGTCGGCTGAGAAAAAAGCAGCCAGGTCCGAGCCTGCTCGGATGCAGGAAGGGAGCAGCTTGATGGCGAGTTGGGTGTTCTTTTTTGGGCAAGCTGTTTGGTGGACTAATACTTTAATTATCGGTAGTAGCAGCAAAACATTGTATCTCAGGAGGGAAGCGGTGTTTTTGTGCCGGACCATCTCCGGTGGGAGCATACAAGTCCCAGAAGGCAGCGCCGGCAGTGTACACATCGCAGCATCGCAAAAGTATTCGTCTCGGAAGGACATCGATGAGGAGTGCAACAAAATCGTGCAGCCACATGCTTACTGTTGTGAAACTGCCTTGGGAACGTCTCCATCCTCTCCCTGCCTTACTTGGACGGTTTGCAGGTCCTGTGACGATCTATCGGCTAGCGATTGTTGCCTGCAGATGCCAGCACAGGCTGGGCAGCACAGTTTGACTATGTGCAGTTGTTGGTTTTGTTTGGTTCCCCTTGCAGAGGTTCGAGTAAGCGACGGCTATGAACGGTGCTGGTGCTCGGCACCTTTCTCTTATGGAAGCTTGCCAATCACTTGATGCAGCAACTGGCAGCGGGCAGAGAGCAGAGCGAGCAGAGCCCTGCCATCAGGAAACATCTCGTATTCTCAGCAGCAGATCGACTTTGTTTGTTCCTCGGTCCCAGCCTTGGCCTTGGTGCTCTGTGGAGATCCGCCGTGCTGCAGTGCAGTCTGCAGTGCAGCAGTGCAGGCACAGCCTCCTACTGTGGACCTGAACTGACGTGAGAGGAGGTTTCGGGAGCTGGGGAATGCAACATTTCAGTCCTGGTTCAAAGCTGAAGGCCCAGACCGGAGACTGGAGAGCGGCAAGGAAAAAGCGTCTCACGCATGGGCCTGCATGGCATCTGCATGAGCTGTGCGAGTTTTGTGGGGTTGAAGATCTGTTTGATGGCAGGCCGCTGGAGGGCTTGGTCTTAACACCGTGGTGACCCAAAGCAGCTTTGCGGGCCGCCCAGCGCCCAGCACGGGTTCCCATGGCCTCCAGGTCGCAGGCTTCCCTGCTGTCGGATCTGATGGCGGATCACGCTGCGGGGGCGGACTGGAAGCTGTCGCTCAACAGCTTTGTCTGGATGTGTGAATCGCATGGATTCACAAATCCAAGCCTACGTTTGCACGGCGTTTGTCTGCAGTCTGCCGTGCCAGGACCTTGCTTTAGTGGGTGAGAAGGGCTCCGGCAAGTCTGCAATCGTTCCGCACCTCAGCTTCTTGTCATTAGACTTTCTGTCGAAGCTGGCAGTTAGCTGTTCCAGGTCCGTGCATTTGCGGCCTTGCTTGGCTACAGGCGAGATGCTGATGATCAGCAGTGACTTGTTGCAGACGGTTCCTTGTTGCATGAGGACCCGCAGTCTCTTCTGTTACCGGGACATGAGCTCTCGCGACCTCCTGCAGCGCCGCATGCGGGGCCGGAAGATGCAACTGCTTCACGGCACCGAATCCGAACACCTCTTGACCTGAGGACTGATCCACTCGGCAACACGGAGTGGAGGGACTCCCCCATCGTGGAGGCATGACCTCGGGACAAAGCGGCAGGCAGACCGAAGCATGCGATGCAGGCAGCCATTTGCGGCGACCTGGCTATCCTCGATGGTGTCCATCGCCTTGCCAAGGCTCCTGGCTGAAGCCGAATGGCACTGCAGCGACACTTTGATTGCGGTTTTCATGTTTTTGTGAGGGCAGTCTCTACGCCACCTTGGCGCCCCTGCTTTTGGACCGTGCGTGCGCTCTTCCGGATGGGACGCCGGCCCCTAAGCTTACGAAGTTGTGAGCTCCCATCTCTGCACTGTTAGCATCCGCCAGCCACTATGCATGTCGCTTGCTACTGCTACAGGCTTCTTTGCTCTCCACGATTCTGGGAGAAATGGTCAGAAGGCTGCTATCCACTGCATAGGCATTCAGAGGCACACTTTAGCATAATTTCCCAAAGGCCATTCTTGTCGGGTTTGAAATCGGAGGCGGCAGCCTGGCGGCACTGGGCGCTCGCCAGGCTCTCCATGTCCAGACGTGCCACGTGTTCGCATGCGCCGCTCATGCGCCGTTCATGCGACGATGCTCTTCAGGTGCACCCGGCTTTTCGGCTCATCGTGTGCGGGGAGACTCCGGAGTCCCTGGGCAAAGCTTTCCCGGTCGTGGCTATGCTCCAGCTACCAGTACAGCCCAAGAGGTCGGGGGCCCGCCCGTCTCGTGGCTGGATAGACGAGGAGGCTGTGGATCAGACGTTTTTCGGCTCTCGGACTTGACTTGAGCCCAAGAGGTCGGAACTCTGTTCCATTTTCACAGTGTGGCGGCCCTGCCCAGCCACGAGCAGTCCCTTGGCCAACTGGCGTCCTTGTCCTGCTCGTCCTCAGCGGGATTTGGACACTTACATGGGTAAACTTAGACACCAAAGCGATCATGTGCAGCTTGTCAGGCGAAGCTTGGCGGTCCTGTGTGCTGGCCCAGCAGCCGAAGCCAAGGACCCATGCGTTGCTGCTGGTGCTTATCGTTCAGTGCCGCGTCGCAGTGGGTAGTTGATTAGTTGGACGAGCTTTTGACACCCACAAAAGACTTCTGCGCTGAGGGTGTAAGTGTAAAGCACATGAGGACAAGCCAGTCGACAAGCTGCTCGCATACGGCTTCAGACTCAGGGATTCTGCGTTGAGCTCTACGGCTTACAAGCGAACCCTGCAATTAATAAGGCCAGGCTGCCAAAGCTGCAGTTTCCAAGGACGCAGACCTCAGGCCTCTTCAGCTAAGCCACAGCCTGAGGCACGCGCCCTTTGCCACTTGGCTTCGCGTCCCCACTGGTCCTAAGGCCTTCGTGCACTGCTCCGGGCCTCCAGGCTTCTTGTGGATCCCGGGTCAACGCCGCTTCGCTGCAAGCCTCGCGGCAGGCATCTGTGCCTTCGGCAGGAAGATGTGGCAGGCGCCATAGCTGCAGCCTCGGTCAGGGTAGCGGCATTGTAAGTTTTGGTGCTTCAGCAGCATATACGATGCACGCATGTTCTGTCAATGGCAGGACAGGACATGCAAGTAGAGTTCAAAAGGTTTTGAGTTGCCATCACAAGCTGCCTTGCCCTCAGTCTTCAAGTTTTGCCCTCCCCACGGCTTTGTTTTGAGGAGGATTTTCAGGGTATTGCTTGAAAGGGCCACCTTTGCGGACGCAGCGGAGCTTTAGCCATGGTTGCTGGATTTTGCTTGTGTCTGAAAGGGGCGTGCCTTCTCGGCGCGGTTGACGTTCCTCCCAAGCTCTCAGCGACAGCTTGGTAAGCAGCTCGGCAAACACGGAGCCTTTGCTCCTTGCACGACTTTCTCATGACAGGCTAAAGTTCAAATCGTTTGTTAGGCGAGAAGCTCCTGGCAGAGGCTCGGCCGGCTGTTGAGATAAAGCAAACGAAGCAAGTACTCCAATTGCTCTGAACACGCGTGGGGCATGATTTTGTGACACTGCCTTTCGTTCGTGCGTCTCGGCCGCAGCAGGCAGGAATCCGCTCCTCTCCGGGAGAGACGAACATCAGGTCTTCTGAAGTTTCGGGAGAGCACGCTGCTCAGGAATGTATGAAGCGTAGCGCTACTGGCACCTGGCAGTGCAGCTCATGATGGCCCGCAGATTCTCCATCTCTGCAAGGTTGCAGCTGGGCAGCGTGCGCTGTCAACTACGCACGCCGAATCGACCGGAACTTGTGCCACAGGCAGCTTTCGGCTGTTATCAGCCTACATCTGCGACGAGCGAAACATGTCAGGTGCATTTCGTTGAGACCCCGGCTCACATGACCTTGCTGCAGTGGCCTTGATCGTAGCGTTCATTGCCACCGATTCCGATTGCTGATAGCTGATAGGCAAAGCATGTTGGTGAGTTGGATTGCTGGACAGTCCGGCACTGAGTGATGCAGTCGCACGACCAGCACATGCGCAAATCTCCGGAATCTTATGCATACCAGGCATCTCTTGCTGGTTGGCAACCAGGGCGTCGCTGGGCTTACTGCTGCAGCGGAGTGCTTGGAATCCGAATAGCTCAGGTTGGAAAGAACAAGCTTGCAGACCAATTGCTCGGCTTGCTTCGGTGTGAACGTGAGTATGCAGCCGCCTGAGGGAAATCAAGACTTGTTGGGGGCAAGTCTTGTCCGTTGAGTTTTCATTTGGATTGCTGTGAGTTCTGTGGAGCGCGACCTTAAGCGCCTGTTTGTGGGATTCGGCAAAGTCAGCGATTTGATTTAGACCGGGGGGAGCAGAATTGAATGGCTAGAGACTCGAGCAGAGCCGAAGGAGTGGTTTCATAAGCAAGTCAGAGGTCCAGCTTCACCGTGACACTACCGTGCAGAGCTTGACCCTGTCCCCAACTCTGGAGGCGAGGAGAGTGCCTTTGCATTGTCGAAGCAAGCGGGAGCCGCTAAGTCGACACGCGCACGAACGACACACTTGCAAACTTGGATCTGATTCACATCTCTAACCGTTGCAAGTGGCAGCAAGTGACCCGCTTTTTTTCTCAAACGGTATGTCCCGCTTGATTCGCCGGACGCGCTTCGTACGCTTGACTAGTTGACACAGTTGACCCACTTGATTTCGGGTTTAAGGGTTGAGGGTTTAGGGCTTAAGGGGTTATCGGGATTTAGGGTTTGCGGTTCAGGGCTTCGAGTTATGGGTTGAAGGCTTTGGGGTTCAGGGGCGTTTTAGGGTTTAGGGCTTCGGGTTAGCGGTTTGGGGGGTTTAGGAAGACCAGCTGTCTCTATGAAGAGGGCTGCCCCAAGGACTAGTTCTGAAACCGTTCGCTTGAAGCGAGAATCGCAGAGGTTTTGAATGCTTCTGCTTGCAATGGGTTTGGTTGACCTGATGATGTAAAGCTAGCTTCGCTGCGGAAGTGACGTTCGATTTCTCGGCCCATGCCAAGTCTAGTAGCTCGAGCTGTTTTCGCGACAGCAGCCAAGAGGCTGGCAGAGTCCTGCGTGAATAGCTCTGCCAGCGTGGCAATCACGAGAGCTGAGCCACCGTGGTGCGCCACGCGATGCGCGAGTTCGCACCAATTGCGTCCGCACCTCGACCAATCCTTTCGTCTTGCGGGTGCGGGGTGGTGACGTTGAGGCCCTAATGGCTGCCGCTGTGGCTGTGTCCGCCGGAGCTTTGTGGCTTCACAAATGCTTCTCGAACCTGCACCTTACGTGAAAAGGCCGCCGGGAGGGCTCCAAAACAGCATGCAGAAAGGGCCCAAAAACGCCCCAGCAAGACCTTCAAAAGGTATTCGGGAAGGCCCAAGACGGCCTACCCCCAAAAAACCCTTATAAAAGGACCGCGATGCATTTAAAAGGCGATGCATTTAAAAGGCCACCGGAAAAAGCTCCCAGCGCTTGGCCGGGAATTGGGGCCTGCTTGGGCTTTCGGGGGCCTGGGGACTTTTCTGGGCCTCCGGTGCTTTTTGGGACTTTGAAAGGGTTTGAGAAGCTTCAGGCAACAGCTCCGAAGGGCCGAATGGTTCAATGTACACCTCCTTGGTTTACGAAGCCCGAAACCTTCCAGTGCAACCCCGAAACCTTGCCTGAACCCTCCCCCTCAGCCCCGGAAAGCCCAGAACCGTCCCCACGACCCGAAACCCTTCTGGTCCTGCTATCCGAATTCTCAGTTTTAGACTGCTGCGTTTCCAAGCAGCTTTCGCGAAGATTTTTGGTATTTCCACATTTGGCCGGATTTGGGGGTGCCCAGCCAGAACTAATTTGAAGCTTCCGGTACAGATTTGACGGTTTCCGGGAAGATTGCAAGTTTTGGCATTTCCGGCCAAAGTTCTGCAACTTTGACGATTACCTGCCTTTCCTTTGACAAGTTTCCGTGTCCGGCCAGGCTTCGGAATTTGAATGCTTCTGGCCGGATTTTTGTAAATTAGATGGTTTCCGGCCACAGTTCAGTAGGTTTTGGTGTTTCCGGCCATAGTTGTTGGGTGAACGCGATTGTTTCCCTCCGAATTTGTGCAGACTTGTATCTTAATTAGTTTTCATGTTTCTATGCACATTTCTGCGAAGATTGAATTTCCTATCAAATTTCACGTGATTTTACAGTTTTTGACAGGAGTTCCACAAATTGCACAAATTGGAGGTGTCCCACGCAAATTTCAGCCAAACGGGGTGGTTTCCACCAGATTTCAGAGAATTCAGGGGTTTTGCAGCTTTGGGATTTCCGACCAGATTTTGGAGTTTGGCCATACTGTATCTGCCCTGCCCCACGAAAGGCTTGCGTGGTGCTTGCCCATGATCGAAGCCGCTTGGTTTGGTTGTGGTGATGGCCGATTGAAGGTTTAAATAAGTTGATCTGAATTCCAATCTGCCTGGCTTCTGATGATGGAACCCACAAAATGCTGCGCTGACGCACAAGGGCGCAGCCCGTAAAAGTTTAGGTCTGGGGCTCAAGTGGCACAAGTGGCTGGGTTTCGGGTTCAAGTGGCAAGCGGCAGGGTTCAAGTCTGTCGTGGGTCAGCGGGACATACCGCTTGCAAGCGCTTCGCGTTTACCCCAACTTTCAAGCGTGTCGAGAACGACGCCCGGATGAAATCAGATAGCGGTGTGGTTTCCCCGCTCACCGTGCTTTTGCAAGCGGCCAACCCTGCGGCTGCAGCTTCTCAGCTTAAAGCCAGGCCGGCGTGGTCGGCTGGCAGGATTCTGCCCTCATTCGCGCAGCGCGAGCAGGGAGATGTCTTGTGGTCGGCAGCTTGGCCATTGTCGTCGAAGCACGGGCGAAGCCGACAGAAAGCACTGCGAAGGTGGATGAAGCAGATAAAGCTCCACTGGAGGCCAAGAGCATTCTGGTCGTTAGGTCGCATCCTACAAGAGCAGATGCACCGATCCGCATGGCTTTCTTTTGACCAGACTTCGCTGTACACGGCTCTCATGTTGAGTAGAATGGAACCTCTTGAGGGAGAGAGTGATTTGCTTGTGAGGTGGTCTGCGTCCTCAAGGCTTGAATGACTACTGCAAGTCGATGGGACACGCGACAGCAATCAACCGCCGACAGTCACAGGCTCTCGCAGAAGATGGCGAGCCGATCTCTTACAAACGAACAATAAGGCGAGCTGAAACTGCCGCGGAAAGTTTCTGTTGATGGCAGTCTTACTTTGTGCACTTTCCCGACAGATCAAGCTTCGGCTCTCAGCGAAGATGTGTGGAACGGAAAGTGAATAAGTTCTCAGGCCGAGCACGTGCTCATGCAAATATTGTCTCTCTCGCCTGCTATCAGCAAGTAAGCATAATGAGTAACCCCTATCAGGAGCCTTCATTCCGAATCCAGCCACTTTTTCTGCTAGTCTTTTCCTGCTTCCCGCATTTGGGAGCATCTCTCAGATTCGCCATGGTACAACTTGCGGAGGATAGCGTTCAGAATCATGTTCTGAGAAAGCGCAGGAATGTGCACATACCTGAGGAGGATTCGGAAGAGGAGCCGCCCGAAATGCCAAGAACATTGTCCACAGACGAGGAGTCAGATGAGTCCGGCGAAGAGCATTTGTACAGATCTGACCACGACTCTGACTATGGCGACTTGGATGTATTGAATGGTCACACACTTCGTGGCGGTCCCCAGAAAGTGCAGCTCTCCCGCCGCGTGGAAAAGCTGGTGCTGGACCTCAAAGAGAAGCAGGAGCTATTCAAGCGACGTCGCCGTGACCTCGCAAAGAACCTCGCACAAAGCAACCTTGCCCGTGGGATACGCAAGGAGTTCCTGCAGCAGCAGCAGCGCATCGTCTTTCGAAGTAAGCAGATGGCAAAGAAGCTTCAAAGCGGGCGCTCTCGGGCTTGGCGGCATAAGTGGGTCTTTGCCCTCGTGCAAATGGACATGGCGGTGACTGCTTTCTGGTTGGGAGCATCCCCACAGACATTTTACCTATATTACACCGCACAGATGGCTGTAGTGATGTCTTCCAAGGCATGCGATTACAGATTTACTGAGAAGCATTACTTCTTGCTGGACTTTTGTTTCTTCGCGAACTTATGTACTGTGCTGTGGCTTTGGGTATTCCCCACTTCTGGATACCTGTTCAATGCCATTGAGTCATTCTGTGGTTTGCTCGCCATCTCGGTAGTGGCATTCAGAAATTCTTGCGTCCCGCATGACTTTGCTCGCATCTCTAATGCTTATGTCCATTATCCACAGTTTCTGCTTGTCCTGAGTGTGAAGTGGAGCTGTGAGGAGAGCCAATGCCTGGGCATGGCCAAGGGTCGTGAGGAGAAATGGTTTGTGCGCTTCTGGCAGGCCTGGTCCATCTACATGATCTGGGCAGTAGTTTATTCTTCTGTCATCTTCGGTTTCGCACGTAAGCGCATCGAGCGAAAGCAGAGAGAGACACTGTACGGATATTTTGCCGACCAGCTTGGCTTCAAAGACAAGCTTCCACGGTTGCTGAGACCGCATTCGGGGATGATGTTCATGATTGGCCATCTGACTCTCTTTCTTGCCGGTGTAGGTTTCATATGGATTCCCTTTCCTTTGCAAGTTGTTGCAGCCCTCTTGGCAATTGTCATCTTCTTCCACAATGGAGGGCGCTTTTATGTAGATCACTTCTGGAAGGCCCACGAACGAAATACAGTCTTGTACGTGGATGCAGCCAGCAGTATGATGTCAAGCTCAGCGAAGGAAATGCCAGGCAGCTGTAGCAGCCTTGACAGCAAAGAGACAGGCGACAGCCCTGCAAGAGCAGGGGAGGCTGCGGAAGTCAGATCTTGAGGTCTGATTCTGGCAGTTGAATAGTTTTCACGAAATGTCCAATTAGTCCCCCCGGCAGCTGAGGAGCTGTCAAGAAGTCTTTAGGGGTTAGGAGGAGAAGCCTACAGAATCTCGCCCTTCTTGGAAAAGAGCAGCTTCAGTGCTTCAGCAGCTCTCCGTCCCTCTCCAGCATTTTTGCGCACGAAAGCTTAGGCTTTCACTGCCCGACGGCCGTGCTCTGGTTCGTGCTTGCCTTGTCGGATCATCGCTGTAAACGTTGCTGGTAGTCTCCTTGCATCTGCTGGGTCTTCTCCGCCGGCTTTGAGGTTCGAGGAGCGACTCGAGGGGGGCATCAGCTGGCGACTCTGAGGAGCCAGGGCTTCAGCCTCGCAGCAAGGGTGGGTGAAGAAGGCATGTCGCTGCTTTGTCTGTTTTCCCACTTCTCCGCTTCAGACGGGTCCGCTCCCACCGGTCGTCAGTAGCAAGGCTCTCCGGAGACCCTGATTGTCGAAGGTTTCTGCCCATTGCGGATGGCTTCCGGATGATAGTTCTGGCCAACAGGCACGATGCAGACTTCCACTGAATCGGGCGGATTGGACGAGCATTCCACTCGCAGGCCAGGATTTCCATTCCTCGGCAATGACTTCTATCGGGTTTGTGGGGATGTCTTTGGCAGGCGCCTCAGCTTCAGAGCACTGAGAGGATTACTCTGTCTTTGGCTTCTTGTAGCATGCCGAGATTGTCATGCCGTCGAGTACTTGGACAAGGAGAGTGAATTGGAACTCCTTCGGCAAACTGCGCCGCTTGTGCCACAGGCCCTACCCCCAGAAATGGGACACCTCTTTGGTCCAGCCGGCGGAGTTTGCCACGGCTCTGCAGGAGAAGCTTGCCGCTCTGTCCGACCTCTTCTTGGACCTGCGAAAGGACTCGGATGCCGGACAGCTGTCCTACCCGCACCCAGGGTAGACGCCAAGTATGTATGCTGACGCGAGGCTACTGTTGCACATGTTGTTGGATCTTGTGCAACCTTGGGGCTGCAGATCGGAGACACATAGAGTCACAGGCAGCTGTGTACACACATTCCTATACTGGTAAGGGATGGTAAGGGGTTCATTAAGTCCATGTGTGTAGCAGAACGGAAAGTACCTGCAATTTGAAAGTTGATTGCATGCAATGCATACGTGTATCGCAAGCCCTGAGCGTACGTATCGTGGCTGGCTGCAGGTACTCCACTCGCGATTTGCTGAAGCTTGCAGCTCACGCGCAGCATTTTCCAGGCCTGGGGTCCGCCAGGGACCAGCACAGGTTCCAGCGAAGATAGCCGGTGAGCGGTAAGGAGCCGATGCAGAGCAATCTACAAAGAAGGCAAGAAAGTGAACATCGATTTGGGTCCAGTACGCTAAGCATTTGAGACGGTGGCCTGCATCCAAACATCAACCACTTGAATGCACACACGGGTCTTGAATTTGGGAGCTGGACTTGGTATGCACAAATGGAATTTAATATCCAAGCATCTAGCGGACGAGAGTGAACGTTGTGAAGCCGCAAGAGATATGTGCTATTTGAGGCTGAGGACAGGCGATGGCCTTTGCTGAAATTTAGAGGCCCAGGAGCCTGAAGCCTGTAGCACTCCAAGCCCTTGTTATCAACCTGACTCCTTGCGCGAATGTGGCGTGTTTCAGCATGATCGCCGTTGACGCATAATTTAGAGGGCATCATTCTCTAGCGGTGCAGCAAGCTCCATGTCTTGATGTCCTGAGACTAGACTGCGTAAGCCGTAAGCGGCCAACTCTCATTCCAGAGTTGCCCGGTGTTGAGAGAGGTGATTCCGCGGAAGAGCTGGCTGCGAACGTGTTCGGCTTTGATGCATACGAGAAGGATCAGCGCGATCGTCTGCTAAAGGCCAGCAGCGGCCGTGAACTGCGCAGTTTCTGTCATGAATGTTGCTGTTGTAAGTGCTTTCTAAATCCTAAATCGCACATGGAGGCTCTACGTCGCCACGGGTTCGAATCCCGGTTCAAGGGTCTTGTGGTCATAAACCTGATGCTGTACTGTAGCGAGCAAACATGGAAGGCAGCTTTTTTTTGTGCTTCGAAGTATCAGTTGGCCTGATGCCAGCATAACTTGCCCGAACGTGCACAGCCCATGTGTCGCCATCACCTGCATGCTGTGCCTGCATGGAGAAAAACAGGCTGCTCGCCATTTTGCAGGAGTATGTCGCGCGCAAGGAACAGGGTTTTTAAGCCCTCAGGATCCTGCAGAGCGTGAAGCTATGATGCACCTCACTTCGCAGATCTCGGGCTAGTGGTTTCGTCTATCGCCAGAACCGGCCTTGGCTTAGTTTGCCTTCCAAGGTTCGCCAAGGGAAAGGCCGGTGAGGCCCGGGCACAGTGGCAACGATTTCCATGTAATCCGGGATACTCCTGCCACGCTCCTTGCGTTTTTTTGCTGTTTTCGGTTGCAGCATGTGCAGGAGGTATCAGGAGGGCTTGCATGAGGGATACGGCTGTGGCGCACATCTCGCCAACCTCGGACGATCCTGCTTGCAGGCCGAACTGTTCGGAGAAAGCCGTGGAAGGAAGCATCTTCGACTCGTCCGAAGATAGTCTCCGGCGGCTGAACTTACTTTTCACGATTGCGCCTGGCTTCTCAGCGATCGATGCAGCAGCTTCCAGGAAGATGGGTGTGTGTGTTGATCAGCATTTGTACCAAGAGGTTTACTTGCTAAAAAATGCTGCAAGGCCCAACTCCGACAGTCACATGCGGTTCGTGTAATCCATGTG